GCTACCCTCAAATCCACTTGCCTCTGTCTCCAAAGTGCTGTGATTAAAGGGGTGTCCTACCACCGTCTCACTGACTATTGTTACTCACACTCAGGACTGCGGGGATGATGCTGTGACTTAGCACTTACTGCTCGTCAGTGGACCTGGGTCAGGTGCCAGCACTCACACCAGCCGGCTCACAGTAACTTGTATGTTTCTCCAGGTCCTGCATGCATGTGGCACACATGAACTCATGCAGGCACGCACATGTACATGTAGATGAAAATATAACTTGAAAAGCTTGTCCATAGTCTACTTGATCCAACTTAGTACACGGCCCAGGAGTCTTCTCTTTAGACCACTGCAACCTACTCAACATGGCGTCTAAGAACAGCCTCTTCTCTACCAGGAGGTAAAGAACAGAGAACAAAACCAGAAACCAAAGAAAAGCTGAGCTACCTAAGACTTCAAGTAAACTGTTGCTGTGTAATCTAGGCGGTGGGCATAAGAACTGGTTATTACATGGTTCTCTGTCTGAAATGCATGTTTTTGTCTGAAATTCGTCTTAACAGAAGGTTAAAACACGCTAAAGCCACAGGCCCCTCGCTTGGCCCCACTGCTCTTCAGCACACTCAACTTCTCTGGCCTACAGCAGTCTCTACTCCCAACCTGGTCCACGTCACTCCCTACTGGACAGTTGTCAAATGCCGTTCACTCTGACAGCAGTTATACTGCTTCAAAAACAAACTCAGCCAGCTGTGGTGGTGCACGCCTTTGATCTCAGCACTCAGGAGCAGAGGCAGGTGGATCTGTGATTCTAAGGCCAACTCTACACCATGAGTTCCAGGACAGACAAGAATATACAGAATAGACCCCGACACACAAAACACACACACACACACACACACACACACACACACACACACACACACACCAATAACCTTTCCATCTGTTGAAGCATTATTATGGAGTCCATCCTAAGTTACAGGTCCATAATCGTCTCATTCAAACCGTTAGACGTTACTAGCAGACTGGCCTTTTGTTGTTCTGCTTTTGAGCTGGGGACTGAACTCAGTGAGGACCTTGTATACATTGTATACACTGGCAACTGGAAATCCTTCCATCTTCACCTACTGTACTTACCTTCAGAAAACAAAACTCTCCTGTGGACGCAGTAGTCAAATCACTACCAAAATGAGAAATCCCTAATTTTTGTATGTGTGCACGTCTGTGTGTAGGTGTGTCTGTATGTGTAAGTACATACATCAGGTTTCAGGGCCTGAAGTTGACCTTGGTGGTGTTCAAGAGAGCTATCCATGTTGTTCTTGGACAAGGGTATCTATTGGGACTTGGGGGCTGTCAATTAGGCTAGGCTGGCTGACCTCAGGGGTCTCCATCTCAGCTTCCCTGACTGGGGATTACAAACATTCACCATGAAGCCAGCTTTTCATAAGGGTTCTGAAGATCTAACTCAGGTCCTGCTTGGTGACACTTTATAGGCTAAGCTACGTACCCAGATCTGCTTTGTAAACTGATAAACACTATGGCAGAGTGTCTCAGCTGATTGCACACAAAGGATAACAGAAGATTACTGGTTGCCAACTTTGTGAGACAGGATTTCTCTGTAGCCCTGGCTGGCCTCAAACTCACAGAGATCCACCTGCCTCTGCCTCCTGAGTGCTGGAATTAAAGGTGTGTGCCACCACATCCAGCTGGTTGTTAACTCTTAATCTGAGCATGTATCAGTAACAGTAGCTAAAACCTTCAGGGTAAAGGAGGATGGAAACTGTAGTGGGCTGGCAGCATCCCAAACTACTAGCCTCACTTTCAGTTTTGAGATAGGAGCATGCTGTGCAGCCCAGGCTAGTCTAACTTGAGTCTTTATCACCTAGCCCCATTGCTGAGATTATACGCGTGTACTACCACATCCAGCACTGTCCTCAGTCTTCTGTTTTTTGAAATAGGGTCTATGTCCTTGTCTGGCCTGATGTCTTGGCATAAAAGATGTGTGCTTCTACACACAGCCATCAATCTTTCTCTTTCAAAGTTTAAACAGAGTTTCTCTGTTTGTTTGCCATGTGTGTGCAGGTAGCCATGGAGGCCAGAAGATGGCACTGGATCTCCAGGGGTATCCTAGGCAGTCGAAGGCTGCACAATGTAAGTGCTCAATATGAAAGTTGGGTCCTTCAGGAACAGCAAGTGGTTTTTGTTGTTATTTTGAGACAAAGTCTTTCTGTATAGCCCCTAGCTGCCTTGAAACTTGCTATGTAGACCAGGCTGGCCTAGAACTCACTAGAGATCTGCCTGCCAGGATTAAAGGAGTGCACTACCACTCCTGACCACATCCATCCATCCATCCATCCATCCATCCATCCATCCATCCATCCTGTCTGTCTGTCTGTCTGTCTGTCATATTTTTTGTGTATATGGGTGTTTTGCCTGCACGCATGTGTGTTCACTACTTGTGTGCCTAGTACCCAAAGAGACCAGAAGAGGGTGTCAGATGCTGAGGAGCTGGAGTTACAGTGACCATGAGCTTCCACATGGGTGTTGGGAGTTGAGTGCAGGTCCTCTGGTAAGGCAGCCTGTGCTCTTAACTGCAGAGCTGTCTCTCCAGCCCCAGTATCAGCCTTAACAGAACAGATCGGACAGTTTAAAATAAGAACTTGGGTGCAGAGAGATGGCTCTGTAGGCAGTGCTTGCTGTGTTAGCATGAGGATTTGGGTTTGGATGCCCAGTACTCATGCAGAAAGCATAGTATAGGGACTGTAAGATGGCTCAGGAGGGAAATGGGCCTTATAAGTCTAATGACCAGAGTTTGTTCCAAGAACCCACACAGGGTGGAGCGAGCTCACTCTGCAGGCTGTCCTGTAGCCTGCTCACAGGCACTGTGGCAGGCATGCACAAACAAACTCAAATTTTAAAGTACTAAAAAAGTACGCACAGCAGAACACATCTGCAGAAACCCAGCACATGAAGATGGAGCCAGGGAGACTTCCAGAGTTCCTTGGCTAGCCAGTCTAGCTGAATAGGCAAGTTCCAGGTTCAGTGGGATCCTGCCTCAAAGGGAAGGAAGAGTGTGAGTGGGGAAATCACCTGATGCTGGCCTCTGGCCTCCACACACACACACTGGAGTGTATTTAGTTACAAATCTACAGAATTCAGTTTCTTCAAAAATGTAGGTTACAAGAAAAATAGCCTATAGGTTACCAAAAAAGTGAACGTAAGTACTAAGAAAAGGTGGGCTACAGAGATGGCTCAGAGGTTAACAGCACTGGCGGCTCTTCCAGAGGTCCTGAGTTCAACTCTCAGTACCCACATGGTGGCTCACAACTGTAACTTGTAGTCTCAGGTGATCACATGACCTTTTCTGGTGTACATGCAGATAATGAATAAATATTTTTATCTGTACATGCAGATAAAAATAGATGTACATGCAGATAAAACATCCACATACATAAAATAAACAAATCTTAAAAAAAAAAAAAAGGACAAAGAAGGTGTAAAAGGATCAGAAATTTAAAGCATACCTCAGCCCAACAGTGGTCTTGGACAGACTGGGCAATATGAGGCCCTATCTCAAAAAAACAAATGCAAAACCAAAGCCAAATGCAAAACCAAGATAGAATTTGTTTCTATCTTTTCTATAAAGATTTATTTATTTATTATATATACAGTATTTGCCTACATGTATGCCTGCAGGCCAAAAGAGGGCATCTGATCCCACTACGGATGGTTGGGAGCCACCATGTGGTTGCTGGGAATTGAACTCAGGACCTCTGGAAGAGCAGTCAGTACCCTTAACTGCTGTGCCATCTCTCCACCCAAAACTTGTTTAGATCTTAACTCCAACAAACTGTAAAAAACATGACTGATACTTGGTAATCAACCTGTCAGCTGTCTTCCACGAACCCTGTATTTAGCGAACGGCAAGTAAGTCTGTGTAATACACACATGTGAAGACTGTCACGGGACTCAGAGCAATCCACTGGTGGTGGCAGGTGGGGACAGGGTTAAAACTGACCATAAAAACTAAATTTGGAGGACCAGGACACATGGCTTTGTTACACTAGTGCTGGTCTCTTTATTTCTGTGCATTTGTCAGAATTTCCATAATAAAATATTTCTTCAAAAATGAATTGTTTTGATACTGTTATATTATAAAACATCAATTTCTCACAAAGACATATTGAAGAAAAATAAAGTTTCGGCTGTCATATTTACTAGTGAATTAACTTACATCTTGTAGTTACTCAGACATCATCCTTAAAGGCTGTAAGTTACTGCAAGTTAGTGGGATCAATGAGAGACCACAAACAGAATTCTAGGACCAAATCACAAGAGTCTGATTTAGTAGCATTACTTCTAGGTCAGGGTCTTAACTCCTGCACTCTGAAGCCAGAAAAGCCCTCGGCTTGTGTCCTAACTCCACCGTCTACCAGCTCAACTGTCTTCTCAGCACATCATCCCTGTGGACAATGGGCAGGATGCTCATACAGTGGGGTAATAACATTCTCTGATGAGGGCTGGAGAGAGGGCTCAGAGGTTAAGAGCACTGGCTGCTCTTTCAGAAGTCCTGAGTTTAATTCCCAGCAACCACATGGTGCCTCACAACCACATGTAATGAGATCTGGTGCCTTCTTATGGCCTGTAGGCATACATACAGGCAGAACACTGTATACCTTAATAAATAAATATATATTTCTAAAAACTGATTGTATCTGAGAGTCAAACTAACACTGTATCAATCAAAGTACATTACATTCCAATGTTTGCTTTAAGATTATTCTGAATAACTAATTTGCAATTCAAAATGTCTGAACAAAATATATATTTTTTTCCTTTTGAGACAGAGTCTCTTGTAGTCCAGGTTGTCATAGAACTTGGAATGGAGGCAAAGGTCAGCGTGAATTCTGAAGGTCCTGCCCACACCTCCCAAATGCTGGGGTTGCAGGCAACATGGCCATGCTCAGGTGTGAACAAAATATTTCTAACACATCATGAAGAAGTACTGACACAAATTACTTTTGTAAAAAATGTTTTATCAATTCTATTTTTGTATAAAACACAAGGGAGAAACCTGGCCAATCAACACATGACTGTGACCACAGGGAAAGGGACTTATCAAACTTCGAGAGTCTAAAAACATACAAATGTGTCTTTTATCTTGTCTACAGCAATTGTCTATGCTTTTCCACACAGTGCACTGGTACCCTCTGCCCCAAGTACAGACAGTGAGGAGAGCAGGTCAGTGACTCACGTCCTAAGCAGTTTTCTGCTGCCCCTTCTTTCCGATCAGAGACTTGTGGATGTGCGGGATCACACCTACAACACAATGTGTATGCGCTGTTATTCCTACTGAAGTTCTTTAAATCTTAGTGCTTCAATGCTAAAGGAAAAAAGCAAGTATACCAAGGATGGGACTTATGTAAGACTTCTCATTGGATCCTACTGAACCTACAGCAGCCTGTGAACCCTTCTAGAGGAACAGTAAACAAGGCTAACCACAGCCTGTAGTTATCTGTAAGGCATGCTCAAAACCGCTGAGGACTACCAACTCACCTCCACCTTTCCAGATCCCAGCACAGAATCATTTCAGTCCTGCCATGTCTATCACATTGAGCAATTTCTCGGGATTTTATTTCTCTAGCAGAGTTCAAAACATATCGAGAAATATTTTAAACCTTAGGTTTGAATCATTTAAAGACCAAGCTAAAATAAAAACAGCACTACACATGACAGGAGAACAAGTACTCAGATCACTAGGACAAGAAACAGAGAGGGCCCAGAGTTGTAACTCAATTAGAGTGTTTACCTGTAGCACTTATGAGGACCCAGATTCACTCCATTACCACCAACAGAATTGTAGTACACTTAACACTTGTGGAATTAAAATCCATATGGTTTCTAGTTAACCATTCAAATACAGAGTACCAGTGACCTGAGTATTAGTTAGAAATAATCTAGGCTTTATAATACATACCGCCCCCGGCTATGGTAGCCTTGATAAGTGAATCCAGCTCTTCATCACCTCGGATTGCAAGCTGTAAGTGACGTGGGGTGATGCGCTTCACTTTGAGATCTTTAGAAGCATTACCCGCCAACTCCAACACCTACAATGCATCCACAGAGTAACACCATTAGGGAATGGTAGGTTTCCAAATGTATGAGAATGATTTATCCAGCATCTATACGTACCCCAGTTTTCCTGCATAACTGTATGCATCCATGACACTAAAAACCTCCTACTGACTCCCTCATAAGCATTCCCTGCACAAACACAGAGAAACGTGCAAAAATATGATTCTTTAAAAAAATTTTTTGTTTTTTAAAAAGTCAGGGCCATGCTGTGCAGCACAGCCTGGCCTTGAACTCAGTGGCCTTTCTGTCTCAGCCTCTGGGTGCTGGGATTAAAGACATGTGCCTGCCACACAAATCAAAGGATTAGCCCGGGGTCTGAATGTGAGCACTCAGAAGTCACGCAGTCTGATACAGTGATGCAGTCCATCTGTGCTGTCTACACAGATAATTTAGCAAGCTTATTTCCCTTAACAACTGGAACTTCTTTAACATTTAGAAAAACAAAACAAACAAACAAAAGTTCCTTTGGAAGGAAGGGGTTGTGAATCTCAGGCTGGCCTTGAACTTCTGGCCCTCCTGGTCCCACCTCTCAAGTTTGGGGCTATCATGTGCCACCACACCGACCTGCATAGAAATCATTTCAAATGTGAGCCCTACAGAGCTATAACCAATAAGCCTTTTATTCTGTAGTAGGAATTTTCTTTTCTCTTTCTGTTGTTTTCCTAGGCTGGCCTTGAATTTGATATGTGGTCCAGGATGACAAGGAACTTCTTTCTAACCACTCCTGTCTCTATCTCCAAGAGCAGGAATTACAGTTATACACCACTACTCCAAATTCATGTGGTACTTGGACTGAACACAGGTAGGGCTTCATGGCTGCTACGCAAGTCCTCTATCAACTAAGCTGTGTCCTCCCTGCTCATGTCTCCAGACACGTCAGCATTCTGGTCAGTCACAACAAGGTACAGTTGCTTTGATGTTGGACACACGTTCACTCTTTGGAGCTGAGGCTGGCATTTCTCCTTCTTTAATCTCTGTAACGTTGGGATTACAGTTTCCTAGTTTGTCTAGTGAACACTGCATTTGTTGTATGTCTTTACACGCATCAGCTCTACCAGAACAGTTACATCTTTGATCGAAACAACAAAAATAACTCCTCAGAGAATGCTTTCTTAAGGAATGCACAGACAATGTCATACATCTGAATCAAATACTGGGCAAGCTTCAAAACCACCCAGCTTGGCCATCAAGCTGGTCTAGGGTGAGCAGAGCATACCTGCAACAGGTATGCTTTGAAAGCTCTCCAGAAGGTCCTAGTGAAAGCCAAGACTGAAAACTGATTCCCCCCCGACATAAACTCTTGGATTAGGGTTTGCAATTTTACCTCTACTAAATAACAAAACTTCAATTTTTTTTTTGGGGGGGGGGGAGGGTTTCTCCGTGTAGCCCTAGCTGTCCTAGGACTCCATGTGAAGGCTAGGCTGGCCTCCAGCTCAGAGATCTGCCTGCATCTACCTCCAAGTGCTGGGATTAAAGGTGTGATATGAGTTACCACACCAGGTCTAAACTCCCAATTTAAATTCCTACAACATGTTGACTTCTGAAAAAGAACTATTTGTGTAGCGCCTGAGTTTTTACTGGACTGGTGGACACAGACATAAAGACAAGTGTAACACCAGCCCCCTTTTGCAATCTAGAACTCATGGCTCATCCTAAGTGTCAATACACATAAGACATGATACCTGCTGGCTCAGAGCCACAGTGGCACTGGACTGATAATGAGGCTGGGTCTAAGAATGAAGGGTGATCAATACTGTAAAAGCATAAAAGTAAAAACACAGGGCCTCACACAGGATCTTGTACCTACCCACTCACTGAGCTGTAGCTGTAGGAAGTCTACAACCATGAAAAAAACAGTATGTTATCTGTCACCTGGGTGACTGACTGAGACAGGACTACAACTGTAATGCTGGCCAGGGCAGCCTACAAGACTGCCTCAAAGAAACAGAGGATAGTCCCACCTTTGGTAAGGTGGCTCAGTAGTTAAGAGCACTGGCTGCTCTTCCAGAGGGTCCTAGTTCAATTTCCAGAACCTACATGTGGACCATTAACTATCCTTAACTCCAGACCCAGAGTATCTGACATTCTCTTCTGGTTTCTGTAGGCACTGAATCCAAATTGTATACAAACACACAAGAAGCTAGAACACAACAACAACAAAAACCTTCAAACGACTTGAGATTAGATCAGTGTGGATGGTTCCTAACTCATAAGGTCTTGGGTTCAATCCCAAGCACCACAAAGAAACTGTAACTGAAAATATGAGTGTAGAAAGGCCTCAAATGGGGGCTGGAGAGATGGCTCAGCGGTTAAGAGCACTGACTGCTCTTCCAGAGGTCCTGAGTTCAAATCCCAGCAACCACATGGTGGCTCACAACCATCCGTAATGAGATTGGATGCCCTCTTCAGGTGTGTCCGAAGACAGCCAGCGACAGTGTACTCATAAATAAAATAAATAAATAAATCTTTAAAAAAAAAAAGAAAAAAAAAAGAAAGGCCTCAAATGGCGGGAACTACAACTATGTGCCAAGTGCTAGTAAATGAGACTATGTATCTCTCTAGAGACTGCAGTGAATCAAAGTCTGGGATATGACAAAGAAGAAAGCATCTCAACTAGTAACAAAATGCCCCCGTGAAACCTTTGGTTTATAACACAGCAAAGTTCAAACTACCCACACTTTAGAGTTAGCTCCTGAGTGGCATGAGATGAGATCACTGACAGCCGGCGTACACTATCCCCACCCTGCTCAGCTTTGCTCCCAGTCACATCTTCCCAGCTAAGAATCCTTGGCTCTGCCTGCCTGGCCGTGTCTATGACCTGACTTGCTTGATACCCATTTACTACCCTGGTTTGGAATGTAGTTACCAGCAATTCACACCTTCTTATTCATTTTCCACAGGAGGAGGAAAGATGGGGAAAGTGGTGGTCTAGGACCCTCATATTAAGAAGTCTTGCCAGTGGTGGCAAATGCTTTTAATCCCAGCAGTCAGGAGGCAAAGGCAGAGGCAAGTGGATCTCTGAGTTGGAGGCTATCCTAGTCTACAGATCGGGTTCTAAGACAGGGCTACACAGAGAAACCTTGTCTTTAAAAACAAAATAGAAAAGAAAAAATAACTCAGCTAAGTGAAATGTGAAGCTGACTTGTAACCACGAGAGGACTGCTAACTCTTCTGCCTGTTGTATCATAATGTGTATGATTTTTCCAGTCTGTCTGTTTGTTGTTTTTGGAACACGGTCTCTCTACATAGCCCAGGATGGCCTCAAACTCACAATCTTCTAATCTCAGCTACCTGAGTACTAAGATTACAAGCTTGTGCCACCATGCCTGGCAAAATCATTCTATTACAACTCTTTACCAACTAAGAAGCCATGCTGTATCCAGGTTTTGGAGGGTTTGTTCTTGTTTTTTGTTTTCTTGAGAAAGAGTCTCTTGTACCTGAGGATAGCTTTAAATTCACTATGGAGCCAAAATGACTTGAGTTCCTGATCTACCTGCCTCCATCTCTGAAGTGTTGGGATTACACTATCTCCAGTCTATGTGGGACTGGGAAATAAAACCAGGGCTTCATGCATGCTAGGCAAGGAGCCTGGAACACTACCAACTGACTAACATATATACCTCATAACTTAATTGGAACAATATTTATTTATCATGTTATTTAAAAATATGGTTTGCTGGCCCACACTTAAATGTAAACAAACAAACAAAAGCCAAATTGATGACATGGTCTGGACTACAGAGACTTCCAATTAGCTAGAGTTACCTTGTCTCTACTAAACCAAATCAACAAACAAAAACCTCTACAAATTAAGCAGAACACAGAGCAAGTTCCAAGCCAGCATGAGCTGCTGTTTCAAAAAAGCAAAGGGAAAGAAAAAAGGAGCAGTCTGTGTGGAAGTATGTGCAACCCCAGCTCTTGGGAGGGGGGAACAAGATCTGAAGCCCAAGGTCACCCTCTGCTGTGATGGAGTCTAGGGTTGGACTAGATGATATGAGGCTCAAAACAAGTAAAAGTGGCCGGGCGGTGGTGGCACACGCCTTTAATCCCAGCTCTCGGGAGGCAGAGGCAGGCGGATTTCTGAGTTCGAGGCCAGCCTGGTCTACAGAGTGAGTTCCAGGATACACAGAGAAACCCTGTCTCCAAAAACCAAAAACCAACCAACAAACAAAAAAACCAAAATCATAGTAGTCTCTTTAGAAGTGCTCTCCGTGGCAGTCTCAGTCACTGAGTTTAGAGCAACCTTTTGGACCCCCACATAGGACGTTCTCACAAACCTCAGCTGTGAGGTACTCCAGAATTGCAGCACTGTACACAGCAGCAGTAGCGCCCACCCGTCCATGGCTTGTGGTGCGGGTCTTCAAGTGTCTGTGGATGCGGCCCACAGGAAACTGAAAAAGAGATGTCTCATTGGGAAGTACTGCAGAGTTTTGACAACATATGGCTGATTGTAACCAAAGGTTTGGCCGTATTACAGGCCAAATTTACTTGGCAAAGATCAATCCTAGGGCCTATATGTGCTGTAATCAGCCCCAAATCTGAATTTTTGGACAACAGAGTTTCACTGTAAAATCATAATTATACCACGATTTTATCAATTCCATGTTCAATGCAGCCAATAATCACAACCAGATCTAATCAATTCTTTCGCCTAAGAGTCATATGATCTGACCCTAACTATTCTTTCCTCAACTTAAAAAGGTCACCTGACCGGTAAGGAAAATCAATCCCACGCTTTCACTGTGATGCTTCCCTTCTGAAAAAGTAATGTCCATTTCTAAAGTCATCTAATCCTACTAACTTACTTATACCACCTGGTTTGCTTATTTACACATTTTAGTTTTGGGGTGTTGGTAGTACTACCCAGAGCCTGGCACAAGCTAATTAGCTCTACCAGAGCAATATCCTCCAACGGCACTCTGCCTCGTCACTTCAGTAACCCCACTTACTTCCTTTCTGGCAGCTCTCTAGGTACCAGTCTTTCAAAGGCAAAATTCACTAACAAATCTTGTTTATGTTTTCATTTTTTGTCTGTTTTTTGTTTCTTGGGACAGGGTTTCTTTGTGCAGCAGCATTTGTCCTGGATTTCACTCTCTAGAGCAGGTTCGCCTCTAGCTAGAGATCTGCTTGTCTCTGACTCTGCTGAAATTAAAGGCATGTGCCACCACTGTCTGGCTTATGTGTATTTATTTACTTGTCTAAAATAGGGTTGCATCTCAAGGCTGGCTTCAAATTCTCAGTCTTCTTGCCATAGCTCTGTAGCTGGCTTTCTAGTTATGTGCTATAATGTCTTGCTGCCTGCAATTCACTTTTCTGTTATCGAGTCTCCCAACGCAACTTGGCTTCTGATAAATACTATTTTTGATGTCCATATTTTAGTTACCAAATCTAGCAGTCACTTGTAATCTCATTCTCAAGGAGAAAGAGCATCTCCAGAATTAGTTATAATTTTCTTAAGAGCACTATCAATGGTTTAGTCCAGGTTTTGTATTTTTAATAAGATATGTTGTCTGGCACATTACAAGACCCCAAACCACCTCTTACTAAGTTTCAGAGACTACAAAGAGTTTTAAGTTTATTTATTCATCCATCCATTCACTCATGTGTATGGATATACGATACGTGAACCTAGTTCCTGTAGAGGCCAATGGATCCCCTAAAACTAGAGTACAGTTGTAATTTGGCATATAAATTGCTGGGAATCCAACTAGGATCTTCTGGAAGGATAGTCAGTTCTCTTAACAGCTGAGCCTCTTTCCTGTCCTATGACGAGGTCTTTAAGTCAGAGTCTTGCTCGCTGGGTGGTGACAGTGCAGACTTTTAATCTCAGTCAGTAGTCAGGAGGCAGAGGCAGGCAGATCTCTGAGTTCAAGGCCAGTCTGGTCTACAATGCAAGTTCCAAGGCACACAGAGGAAAGAAACCCTTCTTGAAACAAACAAACAAAAAAAACGAAGAAGCAAACAAACAAAGACAGGGCCTTGTTAAGTTCTCAGAGTGCCCTGGACAGCCTCAGACTGCCTCTGTTGCCTCAGACTCCTGAGGCATGTGCTGTGCTTTGCTTTGTTTATACGTACAAATCTGCATCCATTATAGCAAACTGTCAGAACAACTCAGTGGCATACAACTGGAACCCAGCACTGGGGAGAGAAGGCATTAGGATTACAAGCTTGAGGACAACCTGAGTTACAAGACCCTGTATAGACTGGCCTCCTCATTGGCCTCCTCAACAAAACAAGGAAAAAAGCATTTTGAAAGGGATCACCAATGTTCTTTTATTTACTAATTCTCTTAGATTAGAAAACGCATCCACAGTTTGAGTATTAATTTTACATAAGTGATTTCAAATTGGGTAATTCTGTGTACTACCACCCTTAGAAAGCTGGACTCGTTCCCACATGTAGATATTTTAACATGCATTTCAGTGACCAGCATGACATTCGTCGTAGAGTGCACTCATGCTACAATTACTAGTTGGGTGGTGGCAAGTCTCTTTTAAGTTCTACGTCTTCGAGAAACTTGAGGGAGGGAGAGAGGCAGGGCTTCCTTTTAATTCTATGCTGCCATCATCTGCTGATGTTACCCATTTTGTAGTGCTAGGGACTGAACCTACTCGAGGGTCTCACAGCATGCTTGGTGTGCTTTGCAGCTCCTTGAGATCCCTGTCTCTGTAGTTTCCTTTGCTAGGAATATGGGCTGACCTCCAACTTGCAGAATTCTTCCTGCCTCTTCTTCCTGAGTGCTGAGATTATAGGCCTGAACTACACGTTAGACTTCCTTTCTATTTTTTTTTTTTTTTTAAAGATTTATTTATTTATTTTATTTATGAGTACACTGTAGCTGTCTTCAGACACACCAGAAGAGGGCATCAGATCTCATTACAGATGGTTGTGAGCCACCATGTGGTTGCTGGGATTTGAACTCAGGACCTCTGAAAGAGCAGTCAGTGCTCTTAACCGCTGAGCCATCTCTCCAGCCCCCCCTTTCTATTTTTTGAGGCAGAGTACTGCTAAGCTGCCCAGGCTAGTGTTGAACATACTATGTAGGCCAGGTTGGCCTTGAATTTGTGACCCTACTGCCTCAGCCTCTTAAGCAGCTGGTATCACAGGCAACACCTCCTCAGTTACATTGATTTAAAAAAAAAAAAAAAAAAAAAAACAAAGCCAGGCTCATTTATCTTTTAAATTTTATGTATATGGGTATTTTCCCTATAAGTATGTCTGCATACTACTTGCATGCCTGATACTCTGGAACCAGAGTCACAGAATGTTGTCACTCCCATCTGGGTGCCAAGACTTGAACACATGTCTTCTGGAAAAAATATCAATGCTCTGAATAGCTGAGGTATCTCTCCAGACTCTACATGAACGGTTTATGTTTTGTTTTTTGTTTCTTGAGACAAGGTTTCTTTGTTTAGCTCTTACTGTCCTCGTATGTTTGTCCTATAGACCAGGCTGGCTTTGAGGTCAGAGATCTGCCTGCCTCTGCTTCCTACCTCCCTAGTGCTAGGATTAAAGGCATGTGCCACCTTGGCCAAGCCACATGATGGATCCATCCATGTGTATGTATGTATCCAGGGTGGCCAGAAGAGGGCACTGAATCCCTAGGAGCTACTGTCTGTTAAGAAATGCCCACACTGCAGGGTGGTGGTGGTGGCGGCGGCGGTGCGGAGGTGGTGTCTTTAGTCCTAATACTTAGGGTGTCGGTGCATGCCTTTAATCCTAATACTCAGGAGGCAGAAGGAGAGGGATCTCTGAGTTTGAGGCTAGCCTGGTTTATAAGGTGAGTTCTAGGATAGCCAAGGCTACACAGGAAACTGTCATGTAAACTGTGCTCCCCCCACCAATAAAAAAGAAAGGATGCCCATGAGTGCGGGGAACTCCTCTAGTCATCTAGAAGAGAGGGCAGAGAGTGTTCTTAATTACTGAGCCATCTCTCTACGCCCTAATTATCCGTGTCAGTCAGAGGATAGTCTCTGACTGGGTCTCCTTCCACTGCCTGGGTCCTGGGTACTAAGGCAATTGGAGGGAAAGCCTTTACATGTTAGGCCAGCTCACCAGCCCTTCTTTTCCTTTTTGTTTATTTCTTAAACCAAGGCAACAATCTGCACTTGACACAGTTTACTTACACTTGAAATAAATTCTGAGAATGTAAATAGTGCCATAAAATATACAACATATGCCGGGCGGTGGTGGCGCACGCCTTTGATCCCAGCACTTGGGAGGCAGAGGCAGGTGGATTTCTGAGTTCGAGGCCAGCCTGGTCTACAGAGAGAGTTCCAGGATAGCCAGGGTTATACAGGGAAACCCTGTCTCGAAAAACCAAAAAAAAAAAAAAAAGATACATACACATAAAATAAAAAAAAATAAAACAAAAATTAAAAAAAAAAATACAATATATGCTTTTAAGCTAAGCACCCAGACTACGGAAAAGGACTCTGGTTAAGAGCACGCACTGCCTTTGCAGAGGATCTGGGTTTGGTTTCCAGTTCATACACGGCAGCTCACTCTACTTCCAGGGGTCCCAGTGCCTTCTTTGGGCTTCTGCACATAGTGTAAATACATGCAGGCAAAATACTCATACACATAAAATTAAAGAAAAAAAAGAAAAAACAAAGAACTTAAGTTCCTATCACTTTTCCTTCCATGTCACATAGATAATGTCATCTACTGGCTGAAATTTTTCCCACTGGTAAGAAAGCTGGTTTTGCGGAGTGGTGGTGCATATCCGAGGCATGAGGCTAAGATGGGCTCAAAGGGAAGCACCGTGCAAACACGTGCAAACACACACACACATACACACACACGGCATCACACAGTATAAACTTTCAATTTGTCTCTTAAAAAATGATTCTTTGTTTATGTGTGTGGACACGCTTGCCATAACACACACATGAAGGTGAGAAGATAGCTTGTCAGAGCTGGTTATCTCCTTCCACTCTCTGGGTCTTGAGAATTAAACTCAGGTCAGGTCATCAGGCTCGATGGCAACAAGTGTTCTTCCCATTGAGCAATCCTAAAATCCCTGGTAAAGTGTTTCATGGGCTGGAGGAACGGTTCGTGGTTAAGAGCACTTGCTGCTCTTGCAGAGGACCTGGGTTCAGTTCCCAGCACCTACATGGCATATGTGTAACTCCAGTTCCAGGATATCTGACTCCCTTGTCTGGCTTCCTCTGGTACTGTATGTACATGCAGGGCAAACACCTGCATACATAAGATAAAGTAAATCTTTATAAAACCCTGTCTCAAAAAAAAAAAAAAAGTTTTTTTTATTTTTACAGTTTTACCTACATTTATGCCTCAAGAGGTCAGAAGAGTGTGTTAGATCTCCTGGAAATGGAGCTACAGACAATTGTGACCTACCATGTGGGTTCTGGGAATCAAACCCAGGTCCTCTAGTAGAACAGCAAGTGCTCTTAACCATAACTCTCCAGCCCCTTTTAAGTATTCCTTATGTGTAGGAAATAATTTAATTTTTACTCACCTGGAAAATTTTGAGTCTGTAGGTTAAAGTCGTAATAAGGGGTCTAGAGCACACTTTTCAGTGTACAATGGAAGTCATTTGGGAAATATTCAGAGAACAGTGTAACAACCCAATATTGGCCTCTAACTCTAGTCTATCCTGAAAGTCAATGAACCACTAGAAATAGTCTCAAAGGAAAACCAGAACACACTCACTTTAAGTTTATAAGAATGGAAAATAGTTATAAACTTGAAAGAACAGGTATTTTTTTTTAAAGGTTTATTTATTTATTATGTATAAGAGTACACCATCACTGACTTCAGACACATCAGAAGAGGGCATCAGATCTCATTACAGATGGTTGTGAGCCACCATGTGGTTACTGGGAATTGAACTCAGGAACTCTGGAAGAGAAGTCAGTGCTCTTAACCGCTGAGCTATCTCTCCAGCCCCAAAACAGGTATTTTTAAAAAAATATTTAAAGTATATGTGTGTCTATGTGTGAGAGATTTGTCAAAGTCACATGGAGCAGGTATGACAAGTGGTTGTGACCCTTCCCATATGGGTGCTGGGAACCGAACTCAGGCGTTCTACAAGAGTAGTACATATATATTTTTTAAACATTTTTTTGGGGGTCGGGGGTGGGTTCAGGACAGGGTTTCTCTGTGTAGCCCTGGCTGTCCTGGAACTTGTTCTGTGGACTAAAGCTGGCCTTGATTTTTTTTGTTTTGTTTTGTTTTGTTTTTTGTGGTTTTTTTTGAGACAAGGTTTCTCTGTATAGTCCTGGCTGTCCTGGAACTCAACTCTGTAGACCAGGCTGGCCTGGAACTCAGAAATCCGCCTGCCTTTGCCTCCCAAGTGCTGGGATCAAAGGCGTGCGCCACCACCGCCCGGCCCTATTTGTATTTTATAAGTGAACAGGATGTCTTAATAAATTTGATGATTTTCCCCCTATTAGTATTGTTCTTGGGCCTGGAATGCTGAATTAACAGTTAAGAATATATACTGCTCTTGTAGCCTGGTGGTGGTGGTACACCACTTGGGAGGTAAAGGCAAGCAGATGTCTGTGAATTCAAGGCCAGCTTTAAGCCAGGTAGTGGTGGCACACGCCTTTAATCCCAGCACTTGGGAGGCAGAGGCAGGTGGATTTCTGAGTTTGAGGCCAGCCTGGTCTACAGAGTAAGTTCCAGGACAGCCAGGGCTACACAGAGAAACCCTGTCTCGAAAAACCAAAAAAAAAATAAAAAATAAAAAAATAAATGGCTTACTTTATGATTTAAGTCTTAACCAGTTAATCTCAAACTCAAGGTCTGTCATAGTAAAAGGACATTTCTACAATTAATAAACCATCTCTGGGTCATAAATTATAAAGGTAAAGAAAATGATGAACTACGACACGGTGGGTCATGCCTTACCTGGAGCCCAGCTCTCTGTGAACGAGACACTGCCTTAGCCTTGGCCTTCCCACTGTCTTTTCCAGCTTTGCCTCCAGCCTGGAAGAAAAAAATTTGGAGTTGAAAATGTTACCTTGAGGGCTGGAGAGATGGCTCAGCGGTTAAGAGCACTGACTGTTCTTCCAGAGGTCCTGAGTTCAAATCCCAGCAACCACATGGTGGCTCACAACCATCCGTAATGAGATTGGGTGCCCTCTTCTGGTGTGTCTGAAGACAACTACAGTATATTCATAAAATAAATAAATAAATATTTAAAAAAAAAAAAAAGAAAAGGAAAAAAAAAAAAAAAGAAAATGTTACCTTGAAAACTGTCACAAGCCGGGCGGTGGTGGCGCACGCCTTTGATCCCAGCACTTGGGAGGCAAAGGCAGGCGGATTTCTGAGTTCGAGGCCAGCCTGGTCTACAGAGTGAGTTCCAGGACAGCCAGGGATACACAGAGAAACCCTGTCTCGAAAAAAAAACAAAAAAACAAAAAAAAAAGGGAAACTGTCACGAAACAAATTCTAGCTTTCCTTTGGGTAAAAGTACCTAGCAGAAAATTAAATACCTAAGATATCTAGATCATCTCCTGCCTAACTGTGGATATACATATTTTCTTTTACTAATATATTAAAAAAATCAAACATTAAACACTTATTCAAAATTTTAAGATATCTATAAATTTAGACATATCTTTTAAATTACTGACTGGTCATGTAAGTTGTTTTTTTGAGACAGGGTTTCTTTGTGTAGCTCTGGCTATCCTGGAATTCACTTTTTAGCCCAGGCTGGCCTTGAACTCACAGAGATTTGCTCACCTCCTGAGTGCTGGGATTAAATATGAGTGTCATCATGACATTTAACTTTTTATAACGTCAACATAACATTTCCACAGAAATTTGAGAATTTGGCTCTCCTGAGAGGAAAAACAAGCACATTATCAAAAAATTAACCAATACTGAAAAAAAGTGAATGATGTGCCTCAGGATCCAGCAATTCCATTTCTAGCTATTATACCCCAAACAAGCCAAGACTCTGATGGGTACTTGTACAGCTATGTTCACAGCTGCATTATTTACAACAGCCAAAGGAGTGGAATCAGTAAGTGAAATGGGCTGAAGCCTTGGGTCCTCAATGGTAACACTCTTTAAGTGGTGAGACAGAAAGGAAAGATGTTGATGTAGGTCACCGGGGTATGTCCTTATAGAGTACATTATTCTGGTGGCTTTCCGGCCAGCTATGAAGTAAACATACTCTTGCTACCATAATGCTTTGCCCAAGAATATGGGGCCACGTGAGCACAGACTGAATCATCTCAAACTATGAGCCAAAACCATTCCTTTTCCTTAACCTTTCTGTCAAGTACTTGGTCATGGTAATGAGAGAAGTAAGTAACAGAGAAATCTGGTACCAGGAGTAGGTTCATTGCCATGACCAAACTTGGTCTGTGGCTCTCAGGCCTGTGGAGCGGACTGACAGGAGGCATGGGAAAGAGTGTGGACATGTGTGCTAGAGAAGCCTGGGATGTTATAAGCAGAACTCAACCAGCAGTTTTGGTAGGGGCTAAGAATAGAGCACATTTGGAAATACACAACAAAGTTGATACAGGGATTCAGATGGGAACAAAGATTTTATTGGAAAACAAAATAAAGCATTACATACTATACACATACTCAATGTCTTATTCATATTATATTTGTATATGTCCTGAAACATTGTGAAAAACTGAATTTAAAGGTGTCACATTTGTGAATTTAGGGAAGGAATTTCAAGACTGCACAGCACTCAGGCTTTGGTATCGCTGTTGCTAGCTGCTATGAACAAAAGATCAGAAGCAAAGAGCTCAACATTTTTTTTTTAAATAAAAATGTAAAAAAAATACTCATTGTATCCTTTTATGCGTGTGTTATGCCTGGCATCCATGGACATCAGAAGAGGGCAGTGGATTCTTCAGGACTGGTTGAGTGCTGGGAATTCAACCTGGATCCTGTGAAGGGCAGTGTTCCTAATCACTGAGCTACCTCTCCAGTTCAGCAGGATTATAAAAACCACTGTTGGCTAAAAAAGAAATGAGTTAAGTTGTTGGAAAGGAGAATGTGCTTGTTTAAGAGAAATTAAAGATATGCCAAAGCCCACGTGGGTGACAGCCTTTGTTCCTACCATTCCAGAGTGTAAGACAGGACTTTTGTAAGAGGCCAGCCTGGGCTATACAGTTAAGTTAGGCAGGCCCCTGTGGTGGTGGTGGTTGTTATTGTTAGGTCTGGGAGAGCACAATATGTTAAAGGATTACTTCCAACATACAGATTCTGAATACCTTTTTAAAATACACCAACAAAAGCAACCCTTACAAAACAAAAAAATTGTGACTTAACCTAACAATCTCAAACCATATATAATTCTTTTAACTTTACCTTTAGAATAGTTGATGACTGAGAAATAGAAATAGAAACAGAAAATGGAGATGGCTCAGCTAGTAGATGGGACTGGCACTAACCTGACCATCTCAGCTCGATCCCTGACACTCATAGGTGGAAAGAGAGAACAGCCTCTGGCAAGTTGTCCTTTAACCTCCATAAACCCACCCACACGTATATACAATAAATACATACTTAAATAGTGAGACGATACAAAATTTCTTACCCTAAAAATTGTGTTAGACTGGGCTAAGCTTCTCTCTCTCTCTCTGGTTTTTTTTTTTGTTTTTTTTTTTGTTTTTTTTTTTGTTTTTTTGAGACAGGTATTTTCAACAGGTGCTTCTTTCTTAAAAGTTAAAAATCGCCGGTCAGTGGTGGTGCACGCCTTTGATCCCAGCACTTGGGAGGCAGAGGCAGGCGGATTTCTGAGTTCGAGGCCAGCCTGGTCTACAGAGTGAGTCCCAGGACAACCAGGGCTACACAGAGAAACCCTGTCTCGAAAAACCCAAAAAATAAAATAAAATAAAATAAAATAAAGAAAAAGAAAAAAAAAAGGAAAATACCTGTCTTGTGAGAATGTAGATGAAACAAAGTAATAAAACTGATGTTACAATGGCCTTTCTAATAGATTTCCTCAGGAGACATTGGCACAATTGAAATTTAGCTAAAGAAGGACTTCCTCCCAAATCCCCCAAGATATGTAGTATGCCTACCAGGCCTGTTAAGTTAAATAAGTGAAATTTAGGATGCTTGCAGGTTCACCAGGATGGACCACCCAATTAGACTCCATTCCCATGACAAAGGAGACAGAACTGATCTGTGACCAGCAGTTAGGCCCACATTGCCAAACCCAAAGACAAACCCAAGTTGGCAGCTTGTAATTCTGCAAGGTGGGTTAGATGACCCTTGGTAAAAACTTTGAAAAAGAACAACAGTGGCATACTTAAAAATACTCCTGGCCATATGAGTAAATATGTGTAAATGTATCCACTTAAGTGGCCAGACTTGCAATCTCCCGTTTCTGCTTAAATTACTCAAAGTGTAACCTGGGACCGGAAAAGAGATGTCAGGATAACAGTGTCTGTGGAATGCACACACCTAAAATGTATATAAATTAGTAGAATCTTCGGTTGGAGGCAGGCTCTTGCTTAGGTCTTAGCCGAGCCAGACAAGCGTCGTTAAAGAGTTTTTCCTAAACTAATCTCTAAGCGAGTGGAGAGAGTCCTTATTGGGAAGGCATATTATTTCTATAATAGTGAAAGCATATTTCAAGCAGGATACCGACACAAATGTAATTCCAAAATGAGAGGGTCACTCTCCTTAACAACCTTGGTGAAACACATAGGTCTGGGTTGCTTTTAGCACGTTCTCCTTCCCCTGAATTTTAGAATGGGGCTAAAGTTTTAGTCACTTTTTTTCTTTAGAAGCCGCTTTCAACTAGATCAAAACTACAGAATGAAAAGGTACTTTAAGATAAAGCCAGATGAAACTTCTATTGCAAAGAAGTCGGGGAATAACCGGCAAACGGGACTGTGCGGTTCTGGTAGGGAGGATCAGAACTCCTCCGATCCTCAGCAGGGGCATTACGTAACCCTTGAGCGGAAGACTCGGAACTCGCACCGCTGCAGCCGGACCTCCTCCGTGCAGCGTAGAACCCGCCCCCTGCTTCTGCCTCCCGCGTCGGGCGCGGCCCCCCCAGGCGGAGTCCGGAACAGCGGGCACTCCCGCTCGGCCGCGCGACACCGCCCACTCTCGGCTCCACAGGTGGAGGCGCCGCCCGGAGCTTCTGCGTGTCCACTCCCCGCGCGACCCCGCACTCACCATGGTCTCGGCCAAGCGACGCTCACAGAAGCCCCGCGCCGCCGCCGCCGCAGCCGCCGCTCTCGCAGTCGGACCGCCGCAGCCAGAGCCGGACAATGCCCGGGGCCCGCCTCGCGCCGCCGCCACCAATAGCCGCTCACGTTGTTCGTTTGAACCTCGGCGGCGGGCCAATTGTACGCCTCCTTCTAGCCGTAACTCCGCCCTCCCGGCGCCGCCTCCCTAACGGCTGTTTGTTTTTTGCACACGGCCCCTGGAGGTGGGGCCTCGGACCCAACATTGACATGCTCTCCGCCTCTCTCCTTGCGCGGAGTTCTGATGAACAGAAGAACGAACCTATAAGAGAGGAGGAAAGCCAATGAAAACATTGCCGGCCGCACCAGAGGCGGGAGGCTGGGAACAACAGTTCGGTGAACCAATGGACTGGAGCGACTGGGCACAGCTGTGCCTTTCCCGCCCATTTAAGAGCCCGCCAGACCTTCTTTGCTTTGTTTATCCTCAATTGCTACAAGTTTAAGGGGAACGTGCTGCTAGCACAGAGTCAAAGGTCTTAAGTGGAATTACCTTCGTGCGAAAGCTATTGTGAAAATTTAGGAATATGTGTAAATCATAGTCGGCACGTAGTAAAATCGTCTAGCTATCACCGACCCGTTAACACAACTTTAAAAGGCTTTATTATTTTTGTGATCATCATTGAGTCCGGGAGATTTGGGAAAGCCACGTCTATTTCTCAGCTGGAGAAACGAAATTAGGCGAACGTAGTAGTTTGCGTACAGCTGTCATCAGAAGTCTAGACTTCGTTCTGGTTCCAGCTTCAGAGTTTTATTCTTTTCCCAGTAGGAAGCACAGACTAGTTCTAAGAGTTGTGAGCAAAACAATTTTCTACTTTTTTTTTTTCTGTTTTGAGACTTCGTTCTTATGGTAGGGTTTTTCCAAGCCAATGTTTTAGAAATTAACCTGCAGCCAGACAATACCTGTCTCAAAATTTGAATTGTGTATCTTTTGACAGAGACTATAGCTCTGAGATCAACCTCCATCCAAAGAAGCAACTTGGAGAAATTGAGTCTTTACTTTTTTTTTTTTTTTTTTTTTTTTGGTTTTTCGAGACAGGGTTTCTCTGTGTAGCCCTGGCTGTCCTGGAACTCACTCTGTAGCCCAGGCTGGCCTCGAACTCAGAAATCCACCTGCCTCTGCCTCCCAAGTGCTGGGATTAAAGGCGTGTGCCACCACCGAATATGTACATTTTTTAAAGTGACAGTTTTTCTCTATCTTCAACTAGCTCCCAAATAAATGAAACAGACACTCTAAGATTTATTTAATTAGCTTTACTACACAATAACTGGGCAGTTAACAATCCATTCTAACCCTCTATACTAATGTGCCTACTTCCCATCCAAAACCCTAAGATATCTGCATTTTAGTATTGGCCTGGCAATCTGGGCTTCAGGTGTTTTTTACATAACATCTCTCCAGACTCCTTTGTGGTGAATCCTCTCTCCCCTCTCCCCTTACTCTCCTCCCTCTCCCTCCCCCCTCCCATCTCTTCCCTTGGCTGGCAGAAGCCTAGCCCTTTTCTCTTCTTTGCCTAGCCATTGGCTGATCATCTTTTATTGACAAATCAGAGGATAAATGGGAAGCACTGTTTACACAAACTTGAAACATTGGATACTTAGAATGAGCATTACAATGCCTTTTCTGGATTGTAACCAGATATGAGGGCAGAGAGATGAGCATTTGAGTAACGTGAGAATAATCTTTAGACAGTGCACAGAAGCATTATGCCTGCACTGAGACCCCATTGTGCTTCCATGGCCCAGGCTGGACCTCACAGTCCGATTTTACTTTCTGGAGGGTTGTGATTAAATGTGAGTGATGTCATGCCTCTCCTTTTTCATTATAATTAAGCACATAGAATCCAGATCGTACACATGTAAACACATAAAGAAAGGCTCACAGACTCTACATCATGCTTCTGATTGGTTACTTTGAAGTAAAGGGGTGAGAATAAAGAATGGGTTCTGCCAGGCAGTGGTGTATTCCTTTAATCCTAGCACTCAGGAAGCAGAGGCAGGCATATCTCTGTGAGTCAAGACCAGCCTGGTATACAGAGCAAGTTTCCAGGACAGCCGGAACTGCACCACAGAGAAACCTTGTCTCAAAAACCAAAACAAAAAAGAATGTTTTCTTACTCTGCTCTATGTTCTTGACTGAATATTTTACATCAAGTGTATTTATGTGAAGCTTGTGCTCAAAAGTATGAGATACTTAAAGTTTGATTTCTAGTCCAATATGGCTGTGTTTTTTTGTTTGTTTTTGTTTGTTTGTTTGTTTGTTTTCCGAGACAGGGTTTCTCTGTTGCCCTGGCTGTCCTGGAACTCACTCTGTAGCCCAGGCTGGCCTCGAACTCAGAAATCCACCTGCCTCTGCCTCCTAAGTGTTGGGATTAAAGGCTGCGCCACCACCGCCCAGCCAATATGGCTGTTTTTATTTTTGAATATTTAGTTAGTCTTTAAAAAAACTCACTACTGGAACAAAATATTTGACAAAGGCTACTTAAGAATGTGTCGTATTATTTTGTTGTTGTTCCTGTGATTTAAAAATACCATGAAAAAAGCAACTTAAGGGGGAAAGGAATTGTTTTGTTTCACAGTTTGAGGTTACAATTTCTCTTAGTTACTTTTCAATTGCTGGCAGTGGTGGTACACACCTTTAACCCCAGCACTTGGGAGGCAGAGGCAGGCATTTCTCGAGGCCAGCCTGGTCTACAGAGTCAGTTCCAGGCCAGCCATGGCTACATAGAGAAACCCTGTCTCAAACAAAAGAAAGCAAAACAAAACAGAACAAAACACAAACATAAAGCACCACTGTTGGGTTGTAGAGTTCGTGGGACCTGTAGTTGGGTCCCGCGTCTGTCTTGCCCATGGCTAGGACCTCTTGTGGGGACAGATGCAGGGGGGAATTTCACAATGCTCACTCCACTGCGCTGGCGCTAGGCAGACGTCAGGCTATGTGATCCGCAGGACTCTGCTCAGGGGTTGAGGGAACACAGTCTGAGGTCTTGCAAGGAGCCGGCGCTCTTGGCTTGGGGGTCCTCAGAGCCAAAGTCAGCCGGGAACCGACTGGTTCTCCGGCTTTTGGGCCCTGGTCCAGACGCCGCTGGGGGGCCACGGAAGGGCCGAGAATGAAGTGGGGGCACACGGGTTAGTTTAGCCCACAGCTGAAGAGGACCGGGGAGGGATGAGCTCCGGCTGCGTCAGGGTGGATGAGCGTTCTTGGCTTGGTCACTGTGGCTCGATTGACTGTGTGGCGGATGCGCGCTTAACTTGGGTGGCTGGGTTGGTGGTCTCTGTGGCTGGGAATGCAGAAAGTTCTTCTGCTGGAGATTAGGCAGCGGCTCTGTGGATGAAGACCTGCTCCACTGTTCCCCACCGCGGATTTTGAAGAAGAGAAACAGCCCATGGTCTTAAGATATTTATTTTAATGGAGGAAAATGGATGAAAACTATACCCTGGTATTCTTAGGGCAGGCCTGAGGTTAAATACCTTTTGCAAGGAGGAGGGTCTGGGAAGGAATGTTTAATTGGCTACGCCCCTCTGGCCTTTAGGTACCTCATTAATATGGAGATCTGTGTTGTGGCTCTGTGGCCTGTAGTCCTGCCCTCTACCTGTGGACGGGCTAGGGGGCGTTGTCCTACATTACTGGAGGACCCCACTCTATGGAGGTCTTCGGCTTCGTGTCAGGAGCCTGGAGTCTGGGAGAGTGGCGAAATGGATGCCGTCCCTTAGGATCACCTGGAGTCTCCAGCAATTTCTAGCTGGTGATTGACCAGAAACCATGCTGTCCTTTCACAGTCTTACACACCACAACCAAGGCAACTTATAAAAGAAAGCATTTACTTTCAGTAGATGAATTCATGACCACCATGGCAGGGAGCATGGCAGCAGGCAGGCATGGTGCTAGAGGAGTAGCTGAGAGCTTACATCTGATCCAGAAGCAGGTGACAGAGAGAAAGAGACTGGGCCTGGCATTGGCCTTTGAAACCTCAAAGTCCACTCTTGGAAAACCTCCTCTGAGGCCACACCTCATTGTCTTTTCTAAACAGTCCACCAACGGGGAACCAAACTTTCAAATATATGAGCCTACAAGAGCCGTTCTCATTCAAACTACCACAGTCCACTCCCATCTCTGCCCCACAATAAGCTTGGAGCCACATCATAATGCATAATGTATTTAATCTAACCGCAAAGATTTCCATAGTTTTGTTTGTTTTACAGTCCCAACACAGCTTTTTTTTTCAAGATTCATTTATTTGTTATGTATACAATGTTCTGCTTTCATGTATGCCTGCACACCAGACTAGTGCACCAGATCTCATTATAGATGGGTGTGAACTACCATGTGGTTGCTGGGAATTGAACTCAGGACCTCTAGAAGAGCAGCTAGTGCTCTTAACCTCTGAGCCATCTCTCCAGCCTCAACATAGTTTTAAAGCCCAGATCTCTTTGGAGACTCAAGGTGATCTCTTAACTGTAACCCCTTTTAAAATTAAAATCACATATGTTAATATACAATAGCCCAGAATATACATTACTATTCTAAAAGGGAGGAAAGGGCATAGTGGAGAAATTCCAAAACCCAGCAGGACAAACTCCACACCCTGTAACTCCATGTCTGACGGCAAGGGGCTTGAAGGTTTGCTCTTAAATCTCCTACTCCTTCAAGCTTTGCTGACTGCAACAGTTCTCTCTCTTGGGCTGCTTCCACCATCTGTCTGTAGCTCTCCTACTTGTCCTGCAGACATCCCATGGCTCGGGGCACCTCTAACATCTTGGGGGTGGGTCTCCAACAAAACACATGTTTCACTTTCACAATTCATGCAGTGGTATCTCCAGGTCTCCATGCAGGGACTCCTCTACTACATCCCTGGCTTCAGTGGCTTTCCTTACCTACAGAGGACACTTCCACACTTCTCCAGTTTCACTCTGGAGGCCACCAAGGTCTGCTCGCTTGGGCTGGAAACCTGCCCCTTCCTTGGATTACGCGTGCTAACCTTTGCCATGGTGATGTTTTACTTTGTCGCATAAGCTTTTCTTTTACA